TTAACAGAATGCCGTTAAGCAAATAATTTTGCAGTGTCGAAAGTGCGGAAAAAAAATGACCGCAAAAAATTGGCTAAGTGTAAGAAAGAAATTGAAATGAAGAAGAAAGCTGTAGAAAAGCAAAGATTTTTATTATTTTATCGAGCACAGGCTAAAGTAGCCGAAGCATTTTTTATGGTTAGCTATTTCTGCACAGCTTTAATTTTTATTGTGCAAACCTCTTTCGATCATCGTCGGAATTAACTGGTCAGTGGGACGTATTTCATCGCTATTTACAACATTTTCATGTATGCTTAACAAATGCTCCTAGCTCCTAGTTTTCTAGTTTTTATGTGCATTTACTTTGCCTTCTTGAGTACTTCAAAATATTTGACGATGGCATAGCGGTAAATTATTACTGTTGTAGCGGATATTTTGAAATGTTATAGGCGGCAGTTGCTTTGATAGCAACGGGTAAGATTCGAATGCCTTTATCAGATACGGAACAGTCTCGTTTCGAGCATCGCATGTCACCTTTTTCGTCGCTCAACTCTGTTACTTTCCGCATTGCTCTTTTTGTTGAATATGCTCAGTATATCCACATCTCAAGGTCATTTTGTCGTATAATTCCCGATTGCATAATATTTTTTGCAATTGACACTTCCGTATAGGAGTAAATAAGAAGTACTCTAATAATTAGATTTTCATAGATAAGAAAAACTAAGTTCAGTAGTGAAGATTTATCTCATTTTCAGTAATCTTTAGAGAATTTATCATTACTTTTTTGGTTTCACTTTAGAGTAATGAAATTTTCAAAAATAAAAAAGATGTACCTCATTATCTTCTCAATCAGAAAGTGAGTAGTATGCGATAAGCTTTCCAATCCGGTTTTTGGAGCGATTTGAAATAACTAAAGGCGCTGATTTAAGTGTTAGGATATAATTTTTTGAACTTCAGGATAGAATCGTTGCGAGCGCTTGGTGGAGCTAAGTGTTTCTCAATTGCAGCGGATGCATTTGACTGGGCTCGAGGTGAGTTAGAAAGTTTGAGCGGTAATGATGAAATCGCGCAGGAAGCTGCTGCTATTGCCCGAATATGTAAGAATAACGCAGTTGTTTCACGGATAATTTCTTCGGGCAGCAAAAATGAGGTAAATCTGATCCACTAGTGATCGTTATGTAATATTTAATTCACTATCTGAATCATTAAAAATACGTGAAAGGAAAAAAATATTTACTGTGCTCTATTATAACAATGTTTTTGCTTTTAATTCAAGACTTCGAATGATGACTTTAGGAATGTCATAATATTTCCAGTGATAAGTGTATCTACTGTAATCTTTTATTATATTCTCTTGAATTATCGATTACAAACCATTCCATCATCTCAGTTCAAATGAGATGGATTCCGTAATAAGATCTCTTTATCGTTTTTTCATACGTCATCATTTTTTCAGTCTCAAATCGATTTTGTATTCAATGGCGACTCATCATACATGTATCCTTTGCTCAAAATTACTTGATCAAATATGGCAGCGATAGATTTTTCTCCTTTTCATTTTTTTTTTTTTTATTAAATGTTGCTAGACGTGATATTTTGATATTCTTTTACATATATTAGTATTCATCAAATCTGGTGAATACTTTCTTATGTAATTTGTTTTATATCATTTTTTTTTTGATGGCCCAGTTGCGGAAGTGTTGATTCTCCTTTTTTCATGGAACGTTTCACTCACTTTGTATGAAGTGGGAATAAAATGCTGCATTCAGATAGTTCACGTCAAACTTCAAAATTTAGTCTCGACAGCAATTTATTGCGACTGATAGCAACGTATTTGTGCGTAGAATAGGGATGAGTGCGACTTTGTCTGGAATTTAGAAAAAACGGTCATAGAATTACTTTATTCGATTTAGTAACAGCTGGAATTTGAAATTCAAGTTGAATTTGCAGTTTTTGCTAGGTTTCTCGCATACATAAAAACTTTTTGTGGCAACTGCTTTGCTCCGTGGTACTGGTATAAAGACAGGTTACTACATTATATTGAATTGTGAAGTAATGTTGAGCATTCAAGATAATATCGTATTTTGTAGAAATTGTTACTGGTACGTAGAAATTTTTAATATTTCATGAAAAGTTTTATTTTCATTTCTGATAAAATCCCCTGCAAACTGATGCAAGGATTCGGTTTTCCATTGCTGTCTGGGAAGCTCATTTAATGCGTTTTTTTTTTTTAATTCAGCAGTGTTGAAGATTTCACCGCTGGCTGTTGATTTATGTCCGTTATACTTTGGTTTTGACTTTGACTTTTTAGTTGCTCATTTATATTAGGACACGTTTAAGTTGACTGCTTGAGATCAGAAGTGTCTTAATTAGTTAGTTCATTAAATTTTTAACTTGTAGTTTTGAATTGTTTACACAGCATTTTTTGCACAGCTTTTTACTTTGTATGTTTTATTTTGAATAATGAATAGAATTTTTGAACTCTTGTTTTTCACTGTCATCTCTTTTGAAGTGATATGTTTGGGAAAGATAAATGGTACCGGTTGCGATGATCAACTGGTGTTAGGAAGATGGCAAAAAATAATGCAAGATCGGTTTTTCTATTTTCCTTATGATAGTAAATGCTTACTTGTTACAATGTTCTTTCAAATCTGTGCAATGGTTTTCCTTTAAGAGTTATTTATACATGATGTTAAAATAAGAAAATGAATTTACAGGCTAGTGTTGTGTGTACTGTTTAGCATCACCATATATTAAATCATTGAAAGAATCAAAAATCGTCTAAATTACGTATTATTTCTTTCCTTATACAGGAGGAAGGATTGGAAGTAAACGGAAGATTGACTGTTGTGAAGCTCTATAAAATTATCGAAATACTTTTCAAAGCACTGGGGTATAGGAATTATTTAAGGGTTTTGAGTAACTGATTAGAGCAGTATATCTGTGTCAAGAGTGAATGGATTTTTTTTGTTTGTGTGATGACATTAAGGCAGCTGGTCACCAAATCTCGTATTATGTTGTATTATATGCTAATTCCCAAATAAAGTAATCTTTTTCATGCGGAAATTTCTTTCGAACTTCAATTTTCCACAATTATTTAGGACAACAATTATAGAATCAACTCTGCTGATTGAAACTTCGAGTAGATATTATTAATAACATGCCTAAGCCTGTATTCCTTCGACGATTTGCTGTGACATTCCGACACTGTGTACGAGAGCACGCATCAGTTGTAGAGGAGCCAAGTACTGATTTGCTTGAAAAGGCTACCGTTCGTCCGTTTGTTCTTCTGTAAGTAATCATTCTCTTGCATCTATTAGTACATAGGCAGTTTTCCTGCTGCGTGAAACGGATTTTGCAAATTCGTTCCTCACTGCACTTAGGATCCTTTTTTCTGCTAAGTCATGTTTTAATACCACAGAATAGCATAAATCGAATTTTGAGTTAAACTTTAGAGATTTTCGAACGAAACTGTTCTTTTATTCCAGAAACTATGTGGATGATATTTTGAAGGAGAGGGATCATTTCGGTTTCAAGCAAATGATTACCATAGATGATTTATTCCATGCACGAGTACACTATGGCCATAAAGTAAGTTAATAATATTTCATGAACAGTAATAACGGAAAAATTACTCTATACTTCATCTGAAACGAAAGAATAGAGAGTTGCGAGAATTTCACACTAAGTCTCAAGTCTTCCACATTGTTTTCCAGGTTGGAACAGTGAATGACAGAATGAAATGGTCGTTATTTGGCGAACGTTTAGGCATTTGTATTTTTGATTTACAGAAAACACGTGAATGCTTGATTACGGCATTAAATTTTGTTGCTCATGTAGCAATGCGTGGTGGAATGTTCCTATTCATTACGGCAGAAAGGTGAGAGAATTAGAACTGATTTAATTGAAATTAATTAATTAAGCTGCAAAGTCTCATGCTACAATTGATAACTTCAGAAGTGTTGCTAGAGTAAGCTAAGTCTATCAGTGTAATATTTTTATTTCTTCAGAAAAACTTTTTTTTTTTTCAGAAATAATATGCTAATGGTTGAGCGAAAAGCTCTAGAAATAAATGAGTTTGCGCACGTGCGTGGTTGGAAAGAGGATACTTTACTTAATGCGAAAGCATTATTTGGTGCACCTGTGCGTTTGCCCGACACGATCATATTCCTGTCTACATTAACATCGGTTTGCTTATTTTCATATTCTGTTATTTTTTTCTTTCTTTTTAAGCAATGTTCACTTTTAATCTCCAACTTCAAGACTTAAAGTGCTCTATTTTAATAAAAAATAAATAAGGCTGTTAGATATTTTACGAGAATAATCAGTTTCCTTTTTTTAATCTATCAACCTTATAATGTGAGAAAATTTTATGACGTTTTTTTCTCTTTTTTTAATATTAAAAATTCATAGAATGCAAAGTATGGAAAACTTATCTATAAAATAATTTATGAAACAAACACTTTTTCTTAAAATTCAATTTTCATACAGAAAAACACTCCAGGTATTAGAGACGCATCCAGCAGTACGCGAAGCAGCAAAAATGGTAATTCCAACGATTGGTATCGTCGATTCCAATGCTGATCCTACCAATATTACGTACCCGATTCCCGGAAATGATGACTCAGTATCCAGTGTACAGTATTTTATGGATTGTTTCGTTAAAGCTGTCAAAGTGGGAAAAGAAGCACGACGGTCGTTATTTTCTAATTAACAGTTAACGACTCTAAAAAATTGAACTTACTTTTATTTAGCATATTTATAGCCTAAATCCTGTTATTCGTGCCTAATTGCTTCAAAACTAAGTCATGCATTTCTCTCAACATTACCATTACATTAATAGCTTAAATTTTTTATTGCTGCTTCTGTACTAGTATGCGTTTTGCTGATAACACCGGAGATAGCAAACTGGAAGCAAAATAAATTAACGCTATAAAAATCGTGTTAGCAGAGGGAACCAAATCACAGTTTGAAGTAATGCCCTGAACTCACTAGAGAAAAGCCACAACAGCTGTCAGTTATTAGTTGTTCTTCTTCTTTTTCTTATCTTTTACTGGAACGGCTGTCTGAAAATTATCTTGATGATCATGAGATATTGCTATTAAAAATCAATATGCATTATAAGTTTTAATGTGGATGAGTCTAAATAACATCATAAATTGTGTTTATGATACAAGAGAGATTTACCATCCCAAGAACAATCCGTTTCTTCTCATCCTCATCTATCTCGATTGATGGATGTTCCACACCTGTTAAACGATTTCGTAATAATTTCTGCTTCATGAACTGAAAAAATTATATATTGAGTAATTATGAAAAATATCACCCTGGTTTGTTCTAAAAAAATGGTCGAAATTATATGGTTAAGGATGTTTGAAAATTTACAAATACATTAACTTTTCCAAAAAAAAAAAAAACATCTCCCATCTTTATCTTAAACCTACATCTGACTTCAGTAATCAAAGCAAGCCCTTTATTAAAATAAGGAGTAGTACAGCAGCACAAGTAACGCATTATCTGGTTTTAAGGCTTAACAAAAAAAGAATGTCCAAGAACCGAACACTTGACCTGTTGAAGTAGTACTCGTCGACAACGCTGCTTAATTGCCAAAGCGAGATCCAGCCAAGTCCAATTTTTTTCATGATATTCACACAACGGAAAAACTAGTTGAAATCGATCGACATCTTCAATATTCTTCTCTTTGTTACCCTAAAAAAGGAAACAAAATTACTGACCTTCAGAAATTGCAAACAAAGCAAAATATTGGATCAATCAATACAAAGTGGTTTTACCAATGAAATTAGGCTCAGGAACTCATTTGCTGATCTCTTAGTAAGGCTTGAAATAAATGGACTAAAAAAATTTTCATCGTATATAACAATATAAAACATTGCCTTGTATGAAACAATAAAAGGCACTTCGGGTATTTTGATGTACAGAAAAACATTATTTTCTTGAGCTCGTTCCTTCATGCGATCAATATCATCACGTAAATGACTAGAGTCATTTGTACGCCGAAATGAACCGTTCATGGCCCCACGTAACCACTGCCCAACTGATACACCCTATAAAGAAATACAATAAGATGTTAAAATTTCATTAACTTTACAAGTAATTAAAGTAGTTATTTTCAATAGACCAGATTTGACTTCCACTTGTCTCAATTTCAGATATAACAACCTGTTGGTATTCAGTGAAAATCAGTTCAACAATCTCAGAAATTTTGCTTCTATTCAAGTCCATAAAGTGGACTGAAAATTAATATACAGATTCGTTTACATAAAATGATCTCCGGATTAAGCAGTTCCGTGCAAAGCACATTTTAGGTACGATGAAATTGTTGAAAATCTTTTGCCTATTTTGAGCTATCCGACTTATGAGTGCAAAATTATGAAAAAAGGAAAACAAGAAATGTTATTCTTGGTAACAAAAATCTAGAACAGCCAAAAACAAAACAGATCTTTTAAACTAAACTTTTATTAAACTCCAGAAATGAAAAAAAAGCAACCTGACTGTTCTGCAGCTCTTCATTTGTATCGAGATTTCGTTGGTCTTCTTTATCGATATTCCTCCCAGGAAAAAAATACCCCATCATTTTTTCGAAGAATCGATAAGTAATTTGAGCATTCATGGGTGAAACATTTATCTCGAAATGTTCCTTCACCGAAATTCCACCAACTGAAATTGTGATCTTTATCGATGCTTTAGATAACTTGACGCAGTGGAATGATTGATAACAAAACAGCTAAATACTGAAATGAAAAAAGACAATTAAAAGACACCATTTAAAATATATATATAGGTTTACACGCAACATAAAACAAGGCATACCTGGCGCTTTCTCGCGACAAACAACGCGAATTGATGCTGGTTGACGTTCCGTTTTCTTTCGTGATGTATTTTGTGCTTGCAAAGTATGCTATAAAAAAATTTTTTTTTTCTTTCAACGGAAATTTTCGATATTTTACCACAGTCAGTATCACAGCAGTTAGAATATGAAATCAGTTATCTTCTTCAACTTTCATTTCCGAAAAAAATGAAGCTATTAAAACTTCAATACAGAAATAAAGAAGTGGAAGGGTCCGAGACAAACTTATTTTAAATGCTATTCTTCCAGTGAGACTGAAATCTCTAGACTTGAAATCTTTTATCTCAGCATTAATGCAATTTGCCATTAACGAGAAGCTAGGAACTGGAAATTAAGAGTTATAAAGAATGCTACCTTGTAGAGGGTATCTGGAAGTAAATTGGTAACTTGCACAGTGCCAATCTCTAATAAATGTTCACCAGAATTATCTATACGCGCCGTACGTGTATACCTGAAATAACATTTGTAAGATGAACAATATTTTATTAAACAAAAACTACTAGAAAATTCTTACAAAAAATTTCGTATTTGCATTTCTGCAAGAGCAATTTGTCCATCACTTTCTGTAAGCCTCCAAATACAGTCTTCAAAACATACTTCAAATCTGAAAAAAAAAAAAAAGAAACCTTCAAAAAAATGTTCAAACTTAAAACAAGTTACTGAATAAAATAAGCAGTTGAAATTCCTAAATCATAGAGAAATTTAATCATTCTTTAAAATTAAAATCTTTCCATAAATGTTTAGTTCGCTTATAAAAATAATACCTCCTAGCCACAGCAGCCTGTTCTTCCTCTGCAGCATTAACCAGTTGTCGCATTCTTTCCACTTGCTTCTCTTTATAACAACTTAAATGAAATGGAATTAAATTTTGTAAGATGAAGTATTGCAGAAATTTCCACAAGATGGACAGAAGACCGGCATAAACGTCTTACAAAACTCAGAACTGAAATTAAATTCATTAAGGTTATTGGTGTTCAAGTTTAACATATTTAAGTTATGGTTGAACCCACCTAATAGTCATTGCTAATTCATCACAGAGTACAATCTGATTTTTTTTCATTTCATCGATTTCTGCTGTCACATTTTTGTTAGCCTCCAATATTCTAAAATGCAATGTAGTAAACAAACTAAACTAGCCTTTTACAAACTAAAAAATAATTAAAAAATGAAAAAATAAAGTGATATAACGGCAAATTTCTTTTTAAACATCGGTGAGTTTCATCGTGAATTCCTATGTTATTGTGCTCATCATGCACAGGAATTTCCAGAATTAATATATTTCATTCCATATATTATTTCTCTTAAGACATACAACCATTAAAAATTACAGAAAAGGCTTACGCAGTGTCATTACCAGACTCCTGTAACTGCCTATTCAGGAAAAATAAACGTCTCTCCAGTGAACGGATTACAGCAATAACATCTCGCAATTCTGCCTGTTTGCAAAAAATGGTAATAAGGCTTCAATGATGCCAAAAAAAATCAAAACAAACCCGATTTTTAAAACGATGCTTCATTCCTCTTACCTGGAGATGGTAAAAAGGTAATTCAAGAAATAAAGAACCAATGCGTTTTGTAAAGTAACCTCGATATTTTTTCCAGGAAAAACTAACCTGCATGGCAAAAATAGCCGATTTCACTTCATCAACATCTTTAAGCTGCAATTCAAAACGCAGTCGTTGTCGCCGACGGTCACTTTCTTTCTTTCGTGGATCCACAAATAGAACCAACTGGTTTATAATATTCATCACCATTTGGTATTGCTCGGGATTAGTGCTGACCTAAAATTAATGATAGATTGTACTGTAGCTGGCTCACGTAATAAGAAATGAAGAAAGGATAATTGAAATTCTTGCCTCCAGCATGTTATGTTTTAAGGTAAAGCAATCAACGGGTTCTGGCTGGCCCCAAATTCCACCTGCCTCATTCGCTTCGCTGATCTATGAAAACTGTAGAATAATGAATTTGAAAATGGACAAAAATATATGCCGTAACAGTTCATATTGCATTTCTCTAAACTATAGTGGTATTTATTTTTCATTTACATTCAATACATTCCTCACTGTTTATCACATTATTTTAATACATGAAACAGCTATTCAAAAGATAGTTTACCAAGAAATTTCATCTACGCTATTTACAAAGCATACCGAATAGGGAATGTCATGTGTATCAAGATCCAATGTATCCGAAAAGTAGCAAAAATACATTTGACAGCTACATCTCGAAACGACTCGTTGTAACTGCAGTTTTCCCTCGGTTTGTGCCACATTACCATGATTTAAAATAATGTTTAAGTTCATGATGCGCTACTAAAACGGTCTCAAAAATTCCCAGATTTACATGGAGCAGTTCTCGGTCAAGAAAACTGTTTTAGTATATTTTTTTTTTCATCTTGAGCAGTTATTGTATAGATAAAATTAAAAATAGCTGCTAAATAAACTGCTTACCAACAACTACACCGCCCACGGCTTCCCCAGTGCTAATATAAGGATTCAAGCGATCACTGATATTAGGATCACTGCACGTTTTTTCCTCAATGATATCACGATTCAACCAATGGAATCCTTGTGGGATTGATTCCGACAGAGAACTTGATGGATTGAGGTGCTGAGACATTACCAGGGGTGCAAAGTACTAAAATAGATTTGTAACTTAGTTTTCCTTCCGTGTTGAAAATTGCAAACGGAATGTGCTAAAATGTGAAATTAGTTTGACCCAAGAACTAAATAACTTTCTATTTACGGGTACCATTACAAAAAAAGGAATACAAAAAAAAAAAAAAATACCTGCATCCCGGAAAGAGTTGCGCACCATGATTTCTTACTCAACAACTGCGATTTTTTCCAAACTAATGAATAGATGCGCTGAGTTACAGATGCACGGGCAGCAGTTAGTAAAACAAATCCATCCTTTTCTTTTCCCCGTAAAACGGCTTGGCTATTAATAAGATCAACTGAAATGAGAAATATATTTACACTTATTTTCTATATCGAAAAATCATAGATCAGCAACTTACTTTGCCAGTTGATTAATGCGACGTCGTCAGCTGTACACAGTGCAATTCCTTGTAACATGTCCGAAGGAATGTCAGTTGTCTGAAATGCAAACAAATACTTATGAATTAAATTCACTATATGACATAAGATGAAATAAAGTTCAAAGAATAGATAGATTATTAAAATCAACTTTTCTTCCTAAAAGCGCTGTGCCCGAATCAGTAAAAGCAGAATTTGTAGTGGGAAACAAGTATTAACACGTTCTTATTTCGAGAGTTTGTTTATAAATATGTGAACATAGCTATTACGAAATTCTTCAATAAATCTGTAGTAGGATTATTTTATTTTACAAGTAAGAATTATTTAGTGGACAGATCTTTTCCTTTGGCTATACTTAAGGGAAAAATATCACTTATATTATCGAGTAGCAAGTATTTCTCTAATAGAATAACAAAAAAGTAGAACTTCTTCATCGTAAGCGACAAGTTTCGTACTGGCTTCATCAATTAATCGCTGCAGCATATCATTTTCCTCTGTTACCCGTTTATCAGAACCACATCGTGATCTGTAATAGCTAATATATGTTTTTCTAATCACTACACTAAACAAAATGAACTGATTCTACATATTTTCCACGACCAAGTTTTGTAGATCTTTCAAAAGGTCACATGTAAAGGAACAGCAAATGCAAACAATATTATCTCGTATTTATCACTGTTGCTAAATATCTACAAACAAATTATATTTTATGCAATAATAGTTATATTCTACAAACAAGAAGCTCAGTTATTAATGTAAACACCTGTTTGTCAATATTAATGAAATAATGAAAATTTTCAGCAAGATCAACAATACAGCAATACGGTAAAACAAATGACAATTTTTGTGCTACAGTGAAAAAAAAAGACTAAGAACTCACTGATTTGTTTTGTCAGGATCAGAATGTAATCTTGAAACAGTCGATCTTACGGCACGCGCAGCATTTAAAGTAGCTGAAGATGGTGACGGGACTCCTGGTTCCGTAAACTGCAATTAGAAATCCGTGTAGCTTCTTAACCCAAAAGTTGTTCAAAAAATTTGTTAGTAATTAAACTACTGCTTTAAATTAAATTAAAAAAATTAAGCCTAACATGTGGTGTCTTCAAAGCATCTGTTCCTAAAATACGCCGTAAAATGTGGGCCTTATGAACGCCATCTGCAATGGCCAAACACGTATCACGATTTTCCGGAGTCCACGAAGCACGCAAATCATGAATTGTGAGCCTGTGCACTGCTTCATCACTTTCTGACAATTTGACCTGCCTATTACTGGAAGAATCAGTGCTATTCTAAAAAGAAAAAATAAATTCATGAACCTCTCAACTGCGAACAATCAGAAAACAATGAAAGTAAGGGAGCGTTTATAGGTTAAACAAGACAATGAATGATCAATTAAAATATGTAATAAAAACAGGCTAAAAAAAATTTTTACAAGAAGTCAAACAGGGTGACCATAGCACCTAATCATTAAATTTTATATTAAAATAATGAATATTAAATATGAATATATAAAATTTCTGAGTAAAAAGCGAGCGATTAAAGTTCATAGCCCAGAATAACAAGCATAATTGCATTTAAATATTTCGTCAATAGTTTATGGAATGATTAAAATTAAATAACCACATCGTTGAAAGAGAAAAGTTATAAAAAAGACCTTAGATCGTGCTTCTCGTGTGTAAGACAACCGATCCAATCCAATAAAAAACGAATTATCATCAATTGAAGTAGCAAAGTTTTGTGAATTAGAGCCGAAAAGATGAATCTGTGCATTTAAAAGCTGTGCTGAAACGTATAAAACTGACCATTTGGCAATTCGTCTTCTGCTGACTCCATCCTAAAACTATAGCAAATGTTATGCTAAACGATAATAATAGGATGGTTGACTCGAAAGTTCATATCTTCATCGGCATTTTAACCTAAATTTAAAAAGTACACTTTCTTTTTTACAACTTTCGAAAAAGTACACTTTCAATACTTTCTTTGAAAAAAGTGAACATATTGACCTTTTGTTCGCCATTCTGCAAAATGTGAAGTTCTAATGATGAGGTTAAGTGTAAACTTTCACTAATCATCCGCAGACCATGTGATGATGAGTACGACATCCAGTAAGTGATCAAGAAGCGTGGAAGTGTAACATTCAATTGAATATGCCTAAAATATGAGAGTGAATGAATTTAAAACAAAAGTTTCAACATTTCAATCATTTTAGATTTCTGGCAAATACATAAAAAAAAAGGCGAAACACGAGCTTAAATCAATTAACAGTTACTTCAAATGTCGACTCAGTTGACTTTTTTTAGTTTTGTCTCCACCGAATAATCGACCACGCTTTACTGGTCTATTCACTGTTGTCATCGTATTCTAAATTATAAAACTGAAACTTCATAACAAATTGCACAATGAATAAAATTTGAGGGTGACATTGCTTAAAATATAATTAAAATATAACTTACAGTTCATTTCATACTTTAGTTGATTTCTATAAAGAAATAATAACGGAGAAGTACAAAAACTGTCCCCGTATAAATCAATTTGTTCGCAGCCAGCAAATAACAACCACATCTATCTGGATAAGCATAATAAAAATAATAAAAAAATAATGAAAATAAAAAGGAAAGTACTTTGAGGAATTCCAACCATCGAAAGATATTGGCATAAAGTAAAATCTGAGGACACTGACTATTAGTCACCGTATTATCCGGTTGTTTCACTTCTAAAGTGAAGACTAAATCGAGGTGTGTTGAGCGAAATGCGCGATAAGAATCATGTTCCTACGAAATATAATCAAAAATATATCAAACACATTACCTGTTGGACGAAGCACCTTCCAACATAGTAAAATTTTTTTTTCCAACATAGTAATGGTAGAAATGTTGCAGTTAAAACTTTGTAATGATCAGAGAAATAAGCGAGCATGCAGAAACGTAAGTAGGCAAAAAATTAATTATAATTCACTTGAATTGAAATTTTAATGTCCTAAACGAAACCAGCTTAGCACAATATTAAAAACTTACTAAATTAGTAGATGAGTATTCAGGAAGCTTGTCAGGAGCATACGGTTGAACACTGTGATGATCGTGTGGATCACCAATACAAGCCCAGTCCATTTTCACACTGAATTTAAATCCTGGCAAATGTAAAACACGACTTTCATCATACTTCGATGCAGTACGTACGAATGCATCTATATCCGTTTGTACACAAAACTGATCTAAATTATGTAATATATGTGTCAAAATAATAGTGGCATAAATTTACATGAATAAGATTATCTATGAAACAACAAAACCATTTTATAGTTTTGTATTTTATACAACTGTTTTTTTTATATTTTTTATACAAACTATTTTTTTGTATTTTATACAAACTATTTTATACAACTGTTTAAACCATCAAGTTCTTTACGTGATTTTTGAAGATTTAAAAGCAACCTGTGCAGAAATGGCTAGAAGAGATTTTATATGAATAGTAGCGTTTGTCTCGTAAAATCGATGAAGAGTTTTAGCGCCATTCAAAAACCAGCTTAACATAATAAAAAACTTTGCCAGTTGCTGTTTACCTGTAACCCAGTCAAACCCGAATTCTCTCCAGCATATTTCAACCAGTTCAGTGGAATTGTATGGATCTGTAGATGCAAGCATCGATGTAACCAAATTTTGACAAAGCATAGAAAAACGACCGTGTAAAAGTAATCGAATTTTGTCCCAAAAAGGCAGTGGTGGACTTGGATCTCTATAATTAGATATTGATAAATATAATTTCTTATTATCATGGTGAAATGCATTGAATAAATCATGTTAGAGATATGGATTTCATGCGGTATTGTAATCGTACTCTTCCAAATCTATGGCACATTGTTATATTGCTAAACTTTCCAAGTAATTCGAAAAAGAAATTCTATGACACAATTAATTTTTGTTTTAAGAGAGCAAATACGAAGAGAAATCAAGATACCTTGATGGCAAACTGATATTACTCCAACAAAGGCTAATCATCGATAAGCACGGCTCCCAGCAAGGCCCATAAGTGCAATTTAGTTCTTTGATCTCTACAAACAATTAAATTCCAAATATTCTTAATTGATCATTAGACTGTCATTACTATTTCTAACATCGATAAGGTTAAAAAGTTGAAATAATAAACAGTGATAATATTTGCATGAATACAAAATTGAGAAACTCAAATTGGGAAACTGAAGTGAAAAATATCCTTACTTTATGATTTTTGACTACAGCAAAGTACAGCAACTATTCTTAAATTAATGAATTAGTTGACAATTGTCATACATAGTTATCATTACCGAAAATAGAAACCTAACCGCATGAGAGATCGTAATAATATTTCAAGGGACACATATTTCGCTCAATAATATATTGCCCCCAAGGCTCTGGTAGTGTTACGGTACATGTTCGTATTGAGCGCGGTCCTGAAAAATGATAAATTACTGTTATATGTCAAAAAGGAAAAAAGTAAAAAAAAAAAAAACTATGTATTTCTGCTAGTTGCCTAATCTAATTTCGCAATCGATAGACTGACAGTATCATAATAATCATCTAGAAATTTTACACGAAAAGACATGTTAACCATGCTATTTCCATGTTAACCATAGTCAACCATAAACATATTAATTTCAATTAACCAATAAACAATAGCCCTACTATTTCTTCCATATGATTTTTTACAAATACAACTATGTCCTGCAAAACTTACCTGTAAGTTGCTCACTTCCTATTAGATGTCCCCAAAAATGTGCATCTTTCATCAGGACATACGGCAACGGATAATCACGGAACTGCATAACCCAATCATCACAATCCATTTCAACAGCACGTGCCCATAACGTACTGAATTCCATTCCTTCAGTTGGGAATGGCCTAAAAATTTGCAAATTAGTAATGTTATAGAAATAAATGTTAAAGAAGACTGCTAAATGATTCCTATTACAAAACTGCACTTAAGGCTTTGGTTAAGCAAGAGAAAAAAAAAGAATTTCTTGAGTGTATTATAAAAAGTATAATTTATTGTCTTATAAGGAATGAGTGAAATTAAATACAAATATAATAAGATGCGAGATAAGCATTGTATTCCAACTTCACCCAGAAATTAAACGAGAAATTAGGACAGTAATCATCTCATTACTGTGTATACTCATATACAGAAGAAAACGTACGATTCTGGATTGAAAGTTTTCAGATGTCTGATCACATTTTCTTTTCCGTGCAAAATCAAATCAGCATATGTACGAATCTAAATAGTTCTAAGGTATATTAGAAAACCTACTGACTAAAATCCTTGATTCTAAAACATATAAGTGAACAGAGATATTTAATTACTGATTCACAACTAAGACAAAATTTTAAATCTGCATTTTTAGAGTTCAGTATTTAAAGATGTTTTAAAGGAAACAGAAAATTGTTTCAAGTAATATGACCTCTAGATTCGTAATTGACCACAAATAAAGATGCTTTCTGGAACTCGGCAACTTTTTGGATCTTTCAATATATATCTCCGCATTTTTTTTAACTAACGATCGATGTAATTCATCTGCTTTTGATTCTGCAACAGTATTATGACAGCATAGCTTTTCATGGGAACTAAATTCTAAACATTAATTGATGCCACTCAACAGAAAGTCTACTAACGAGACAGAAAGGGACGCGTTTTCTGAAGCTGCTCCAACTTTTGGTCTAGCATTTGACGCCGACGTTCGCATTCATATACTTCATCAACCATTAGTTCGTAATTATTTTGAAGTTGTACTTCAAATGGATCATCATTAATTTGTAGTGAAGCATTCTGCAAATTACGCAGAATAATACATGTTTATAAGGCAAGATAAATAAGATTAGTGAGATAAAAATTGATAAAAAAAATAAAAAAATGAACGATTTTAAGTCATATGTCAGCCCCTCATCTTTTTTTGTAACCAAACTTTAAATTACACATCAATCTCCCGAACTGTTATACATACCAGCTTACCTTAACTGAGAATCGCAAATCTGAAGGAAGTGGAGATTCAACAGTAAACGGTTTTCTCTTCCATTCATGCACCAATTTTATCCATTTCCATGCATTAATTATCTAAAAGTCATTTATAATTCGACTATTTCTTACACATATAAAAACAATAAGACATAGTATCTAAAATTTAATAATATATCATTGATTTATACTGCACGTGTTCTCAAAAACGCTCAATGGGAAGTTCACTACAAGCGGATATCACACCAATGAAAGACATCACTAAACAAACCTCGTCATAACCTGCTGCAAAATTATAGTCATATGGAAAGACGAACATCACTGAATCGGCAGACCATATCCAAAGTTTATTTGTTCGGTTTTTCAGATTCTTAAATTCATTCCTGCCTAAATCCATCCCTGCATCGAATGCCTGCTTCTCGATACAAAACTTCTGCAATGGGCAATAGGGTTACCAATATCTGCCGAAGTATTAAAAGGTTCTGATTCACTAGTAAATTTCCGATGCTTTCAATTTCTCTACTTTTTTTTTCATCTGATTTGATTCATCAAAGCAAATTTAAAATTAATTTATTTTAATTCATCTTCAAGATTATTACCTCAATGGTAAGGATAGGATGACGATCTAAGGAAGCAGTGAATTGTGGCATTTCGATTTTTATATGATCCATACACTTGATGTGTAGCGATGGTACTTCCCAGCACATCCTTTATAAATGAAAATTTTCACAACACTGAAGAGCTAATTCCATGCTACGGAAGATTAGAAAATGATGAAATCCTAAAAGAATATCACGTACACGTGACATCGCGGTAGTTGAAATTCGATGGTTACGAGACTGAATGTTTCGATGCTGAAATGGAACAACTGAAATGCTTTGGAAGATGTATTTCGTTCAAAAAGATCCCAGATTTGTTTCAAACTCCTGAAAAAAAGTAGGGCTCGGGAAGATTAGAGTAAAGATCAAGAGTATATGAAATAATCTGATATAGCGACGACCTCGTTTGTTTTGTGATACATTAAGTTAAAAAAAATTGACTTTCTTTAGTTTGTATCAAATCATCAGCAGGAATAAGAATGAAATTACTACCTTTCTGCTTTGCAAAACAAGTGTAGAAGTCCCACAGCACTATGGAAAAAACCCAGTAAAAGCTAAAAACAAAAACCTACCGGAAAGTTTCCAGAAAAATTATGTGTACAGTAGTACTCCAAACCAAACTCACTGTTGATTCAGCTAGCAAAACCCATTCCCAAGATGACAATAACCAAGAAAGTCGCATCATCAAGCGATCACTATATCCACACTTAATATTCCAGAGATTGAAATGAAATAATAATGGTATCGAAAATCCTTGAATCATTAAAAGTAAAGAAAAAAGCGAATCAAATCGAGGTAATAAAAAATACCTACAATATGTTCCGATTTTATTTGTGCTGAATCATCCCAACAAATGAATTCATCATTTGTCATGATACCCTGAAGTATCTTGAAATTCAATGCAAGCATCGACAATGTTGTTGAGGAAGGTAAGACATCCAAACGCAGCTGTTCGATAGATAGAATCAAATACAATGAATGTCGAGCTAGAATGAAGATGGCAACACTGAAAAAATTAGAATTAGATATAATGAATGCCGAACCAGAATGAGAACGGAGATACTGAATAAATTGAAAGTTTCTACGGAATAAGAAAAAAATAGTTGTGATACCAGAAGAAACCATGTAGGATTATTTTCAGATAATTTTAATCACTTTATAGAATAGTACCGGTAACATATACAAAATAACAAAAAAAAAAAACCATACTTTTCTACAGAAATTTGTGCTGCAGAAACAACTTGGAGAGGTGGGTAAGGTTGAAATGCAGAAGATGTGTTGCATGCTGCTGATGACGTACTGCTATATAGAAGAGATGATAAGAATGAAGCCATCTGTCAAATTTAAGATGATAAGAATAAAGCTATGAAATGTAAAAGATACGTCCATTTATTTAGAATTATTGTCAAATGTATGAACATAAACATAAAAAATATTTCGTCATAATCAATCAAACTTCTAATGACAAAATAAGAAAAAAAAATCTATAATCCTCAATCCAACAACTACTAACTTTTTATAGTCTATAAGAAAAAGAAAAGGTGTTTCTATGCCATTGCTATACAACTACAATAATTATTTAAAATACCTGCCGGATGAGTTCTTCCTCATATTCTATTTGACATTCAACCAACTTGACCAGCAACCTTCTCATTTCATTATTTCGGGAGTACTTCAACAGAATATAATAGAATACAAAAGATCATAGAAATTTCAAGAGAATCTTACAATCCAAAACATCTTGTTCATGAAAGTCGACCTAATATAAATCCTCTAATACATTCCTAAGAGAAACTTGCCTCTATTCATGTGCTGCCTGTTAAAAGCTACGATTATTAAACTGAACTCTTCATGCGAAAAAAAAAATGCTCCCATATAATCATTAATTTAATTAAAAAAAAACGTTCGTAGCATATGTTTAAATATGCGTAGAGGCTGTCCAATATGTCAGTGTTAAGAAACCAATGTATAGTAACAACATTTCAAAAAAATATACCTGAATTAATAAAGCTCCAACAATCAAAATGGTACCCCAAACATGACAAAAGGGAGAGTCAAGATGGCCAATAAAAGGATTTCCTTGTCGAATCCAGACCGATTCCAAACCAATTTCAGCAGATGCAAAATTCTATAACTGAGATAACTGGGCACAAAAAAATAAAAATAAATTTTATTGAAAGACTTCACTTATTTATCAAAAATTCCAAACCCTAGAATCGCAACTCTGCTACAAAATACAGAATTCTTATACCACGTTTTAGATGCCACTAAACATTTTTGTAAGAACTTGTTCCAAAGTCTCACTTTTCTTTAATTAAGATGCTTTATTTTTATCTTAGCTCAAACTATTCCATTTTAAATTACATGAAGTTATAAGGCGTACCATAACCTCTTCCAGAAGATAATGCAGTTTTCGAGCACTGCAGATATAGAAATGTACTTCGGTAATATTTCTAGAAGCATTCAGAGGTCGAATTAAGTATAAGAAAAATAATATACCCAAATCTGGACCTACATCGTTAACGCGAAATGTTCCCAGTTCGAGACTAGCGTTGATTTCTTGTCCATTGGAGAGCAATAAACGACAGTGAAATGAATTCACTTCGACGTATAAAGATTCCCAACAGAACGTCTTCATTTCTGTCGGTACTACGTGTAAATCTAGAAACAAATTCACATGTAGATTACTGAAGGCTTTAAAAATTTTATTTTCGACTGAAACCCAGATTTTAGAACCAGCCTTACCATTACGATGAAATATTTGAATTTATTTTTGAAAAAAAAAAAAGAAGGGAAACTACGGTAATAGAAAGCTTACCTGTAGATGCAGAAAAATCATCATCGAAATGACCCTCAATAGAGGTCGAAATTCGTTGTCCAATATTACGGTAATATCCGGTCCACTCAACGATAGCCTTCTGATTCGTAACAAAATGAGGGTTAAATATTTTCATATCGGCTAAGAGAATTCCTGGACTGTCTGGTGCTCGCTGCAATAAAAAACAAAGTAAGCATAACGTTTAAAAAAAATTATATTTTGTGGAAGGTTTGGGTGGAGTCTGAAATGACTGACATGGACCGCAACAGCTATCATTTCGATGCGTCATGTGTTGGAAATTTTAATTGATTCCAGTTAAAATAATAGCAGTGCGTTAGAATTAAAAATTTTGGTATCACTTGACGATTTTAAATCACCGACAAACAATAAAAGACAAACATTCAGTTTAGCATCGAATTCATTGCAACTGAACAACGTCTCTCGCGTCTGATCGTCTACATTGATTCCAGTTAAAATAATAGCAAACTGTTGGTTATCTTCTGTTGATAGCGATGCTACATTTAACCTTGCAGCAACAGTACGCCTGAATCATAAAACTATTAATGGCGTTATTCACTCGCACTTAACTTTTTGCTTTAATACTACATATTAGCATTAGTAAGTAAACAACTATTATTAATTCAGCAATTAATATTCAATCGTTTAATAGCTATAGCGGAAAATGAGCTACTCATTTTCATGGTTTGATTTTTATGTCAAAAACACCGACATAAATCAATTTGCATGTATGAGAACTTTTTAAATCTTGTCAAAATAATAAAACATGACAACTGGCTCTAATGAATTAGTGTAAGGCAATATACATTTCTGAATAATCCATGTTGGCGGTATATCTCAGTACTAAATTCTCGATGTCCAGTTTCAAACTTGTATTCAAAAGGCTTTCAATATTAAAGGAGGTGAAAAATTGATCTGACGTGGTTTTTGTCTTCTTACGTATTGGATGATCATGAAAGTATTCCAAAAGGCCTGAAATATTTAACGTACAAGATTACTGTCCCAAAATTTTCAGTCAAGCTTCAGCATTTCAATAAAAATTAAGTATTCGCAAAAGCAGATTTAATGATACACTAAATAAGCTTGGCAACTCTGTTGTAACATGCTACCATATAATATGGAGTACCAAGTCTCGTTTCACATTTTCGATCAAATACATTCTATGCTTCTTTTTTTTTTGCTAGTCTAATAAAGTAGTATTCAGGCAATCAAGTTAAAGCAAGCACATGATAAACAATTCATATTCCGTATAAATCTAAATTCTTTAAAAGTTTTCAAATCATAACATTTACAAAATCTTGACCAGAAATGAATTTATGATCATGGTAAAACGAACCATCCGAAAGTATAAGCTGAGGATCAGTAATACGGGCACCAAGTCGTTTCAATTTTAAAATATCTAAAGGTATGTTGCAACAAACTGATAATCCTAATGAAAGTACGAGTAGAGGCGCAGTATTTTGAGTTGTTCCACGACTGAACAATTTTGCTTGTAATAGTTTACAGGAAAGTTCAATCTGCATCCTGAAATGTGGAAAAATATTTTCTTGATAGGAACACTATCCAGTACTTCGTGTCAAAGCTTAAAAAATTTCTAAAAATTAACCCTTCACGATTTCGATATCCATCAAGTTGTAATTGTTGAAAGGTTGAATGCAACAAAGATCCTGGTGTCACACCAAGAAATACAACGCGCGCAGTACGAATTATCGTGCTTGTATACTAGAAATGTTTCTGGGAGTGAAAAACAAAGTGAAGTGTTCACAAATTTCTCGCAATTTATAGCTTGTCAAAAATTAATATCATCTGAGATCAAAGGGTATGACTGCTAGTAGTTGATGCAGAAACTATAGACTTAACGTCAAACATACATCACGCTGGCTTTATAACTGATATGATTGCTTAAAAGCGGAAGTGGCATGCAGAAGGAAACGTACTTGTAACCAATGAAGATATCTTCCAAAATCCTTCTGACAGCACTGTTTCTTATAGGTTGGTGTCAAGGACAATTGATTACATTCACCTTCAATGCGGATATCACTAATCGTGATAACGAACGGTTTCCTAAAACTGTTGACTCAATAAAAACCTACAATCTAAATACATGAAAAGACCCCCAATTTACGGTGATTTGTTTGATTTGTAAATGTCATTTTCTTCTTTTATTGGGATGGTGACACTATACGTACTATTATGGATATAAAACTTTCTAAAACACTTCTAAGTATTTAACATACTCAAACATAATGAAGTTTAAAACATCGAATCATACATTCCTTCTGCGAATTTTAATAAATCTTACTGTTGGTTTTACCTGACTACAATCATTGATAACGATGCATGCAGACTATTTAATTGTAATTTACAAACTGCAAGATTTCCCCACTAATACATTGAAACTCACGTGTAATGTGTATTGAAGAAACTGACTGTTACGCGAAAATCGTCAACTTCAATCACGATACCACCAATTAAGCAAAGTCTAATGTGTTCTACATAAAAAAGGCCGCATCTGCCCAGACGAACTGAACGACAGCGGCAAATTTTTGCTACCGCCAATGATAACAACCAACCCCGGTATCTAAATTTAAAATCTTGCTATAAATTAAGAAATCAATGATTCCTATACAGTTTTTACAAGTAGGTCCTTAAAGGACTTTTGAACGATTTAAGAACAAAGTCCTTAATCAATCACACATGATCCCAAAACATGACATGATTTTCTAAAAATCAACGTATACCTGATAAATAAAAACGGCTCTCATAAGAACGGCTATTAAAAACTATTTTATTCCCTATTCAATTATTTTAAGTTATATTCCTTCCAATAATCAAAACGATAGTCAGAGTCAAGAAAGAAATTAAACTGCTATCTTCATCAATAACTTCTGAAATTTATTTTCAAGTTATGAATGTCCTGCATTATTCTATGCTAATTTGTACATTTTTACAAATTAGAACAGAATATGCTAATTTGTACATTTTTAAGTATCTTAAAAGACAACGAACAAACCTCCATATAAGCAATATGAGAAATATCAATAAACATGAAATGTATGGAAATGCCATATCTATTTGTTATTAGGTGTTATTATATGTTGTCGTATTGATTCTTCATCCATCACTGAAACTGTAAAGATTAAATGTTTTGAACAGGAGAAATACTATAAATATTGTTTCAGGTTTGACTCAGTATAGAGGTTAATCGGTTACTTAATTATTCAACATTAAAACTCCAAATATGATGGCATGAATAACTTAAATTTTGTTAGTTATATAAACAATATTCATTTTAATTTTTGTTTTCAAAAATTCATGAACCGCACTAAACATTCAACTTTCTCTTCTTAACATCTATTATTTGTCGAAACAACACAATCAATCACTCCTATATATATATATATATCACGGATTCCTATATATCACAGACTAATGCACACTTCCATCTATCTTACCATTCATATATTTTCACAGTTACCACTTTTACGTAACGTAAATTTTAATTTACAGTGAATAGATTCCTATAACTTTTATTTATCCCTTATAATTTTTTAATTCCCAAATTATCAATTTCCTTATGCAAAAAAATTCAAATTTTGACTTTCAAGTCTTAAAAAAAAAATCTGAATAAATATCTTAATTTCTAAAGAAGTTACGATCATAAAATTATTTTTAAAAATCAATGCAATGAGTAATGGTTGGATGTTTTGTAACGGTACGGGTTAACATAGTTTAGCAAAAATTATCTTTCGATTTTCAACAGCGTTTCAATTCAGTTCCATTCCTGTGATGAAGCTTAATTCGATTTTTTAAATCAATTTACTTGTGATTTTTAAAAATTAGTTATCACGACTGTAATCACTTTTATAAACAAATTTCAAGTTTATTTAAGCAGTTCACTGTGGACAAATTTAACATGGTTGATGACATCAGTATGTTTATTGTATTCCTTCAAGAGGGGCTTCATCAAGAAAGAAGAGGGGTGATAGGAAGAAGAGTGGATAAATTTTCCACTCAGCACATTAGACTCATTTGTATGTGTTAAGATCTAAGAAGATTAATACTATCGGTCAGAAAAATGCAATTATTAGAATATTAATGTCAAATAATCCATTATCAATGACTAAATGAAAACAACGGTGAAACAGAAAGCAAAAAACAGGCAGTGGGATGAAGGAAGAATCGGTGAATGTTACAGATATAAAATGCAAACTTTACAAAAAGAGGATAACCCGGACGAATTCTTCCGCCTGTATATCCTTGCGCATCCGAACATACGGGAATGCCTTAATAATACAATGCCATAAAATAACAGAAACTCGCATGCACACATATGATTAGCATTGAAATAACCTTTGTTGAGAGACGGTGTTGTTTCATAACGCGTGCTGTTATTTTTATTGACGGCCAATAGTACAAGTCAACATTGTAGTAGGTTCTCAGTCGGTGCTAGGGATAAGGGTTTTTTTTCTCGGGATGTTTGGAGTTGGCTTACTTTTTGCATGTCTATACATATCTAGAAGATCAAGTATTCGGATATGAGTAAATATTCTCATTTTTTGTTTCAGAGTTATACTTTATGATCATTTTGTATAATTTCAGCACTTCGACGCCTCAAAATGTCTGCTATGGAAGTAACAGAAATACCTGCTGCTGAATCAGAGCAGATGAAAGAACAGGTCGAGGAAATGCATCAACAAAAAGTTGAGGAAGCTAGAAAGGTTGTGACTTTAAATCCAAAAAACTAGATTTCAATAGATTTTTATGAATCACTTCGGGAAGCAAGTATCATACGCTCACGGTGTTGATGTTGGGGTAACTTCTTGACCGAAAGAAATGCACAATGTACAGAGCAGTTGTGTCACATTGAGCGCTATTAACAGTGAGACATCTGCATCAAATAAATTTATCCCTGTCAAATATGAATTCTTCGCAAACCATTCAGCATTATCCCTCATAGGTGGGTCATTTTAGCAGTATTTCGGTTGGTGAGTGGTAATTAAACGACATTGTATAACCTACATGTGTTAGTGGAAAGAATAATAGTTGGTTATCACTATACTTTAAATCATGCAGAATGTGAGTTTTTCGGTGCAGGAGGAAATACCAGTTCAGGATGAAGCAACAAAAGCAGTTGATAGTACACTCTCGCATCCATCAGCTACTTCCGAAAACATTGAATCAGGTGCAGAATCAGAAAAGAAGGATGCATCTCAAGTATATGGATTTGGCTTGTTTTTCATTTCTGTTTTTGGCACATGCAGTGTTTATGTCATCATTCTCCGTTATCTTTCTTCATTCGTTGAAAATTATAGCAAATGGGGATTCATAGTAGTTCGTGGTTCTTTTTCGAGATAAAAAAAATGCATAAACAAGCTTTTTGGGATGTAGGTTGTCAGTTTCGAAAGAATCTTATGACGTAACAGTTACTCATCTCTGTTGATACCATTATCATGTTATTGTGATTGAAGCTCTTAAAAACTACATGACGCGAAATCTGAACTGCTGAACTATTATTACTTTGGCGGACGTGCAGAACAAATCTTGTTTATGTGTTTCTAATTCCTTTGTGGTTTTTAGACTGGTGGAGAGAGTGGAAGTGGTGATACTGCCGCAGCGGCAAGCACCACCATCCCGACGCGCCAATATCTGGATCAGACCGTTGTTCCAATTCTGTTGCAAGCCCTGGGTGCATTGGCTAAAGAACGTCCACCGAATCCGATTGAATACTTGGCGAATTATTTACTTAAGGAGAAGGATCGTTTTTCGACATCATTCAATCAGCAACAACAGCAAAATGAATCCAGCCATTAAGTCCAAGAAAATATTTCGAAATTTTTCTATTAAGCGCTGCTTTACTGAAAAGAAATTGCTTCGTTTTCCATTTCTGTCGATGTTTTATTTCTCTCAGTCTCTTTTCTAGTGAACCACCCATGTACCATGATTTTATGACAGAGAAAATTAACGAATATGAAAAGCCCTCTGTAGTTGTCTTTGTCCTTATATAAATTTGTTATGTGTGATTATGATTCCAAATTTTTTGTGAGTGGCACACAATGATTTTTATTTTTATATCCCATTTTTTATTATACAATATATTACTGTAATTTTTGGTGTCATTTCTTCCATATGCTTGCAGAAAATCAGAATTTTTGTTAAACTGGTTTATTACTAATTTGTTATGCGTTTTTCATGCATGTTTCCATCACTGGAAAGTATTTCCATGAATTTGATTTACAATTCCAGACCAAAAGTTAAAAAGTAACTTTCTGAGAATGTTGCAGCTTAATTGGTTCAAACCTTTGACTGAGAGCGAACAACTTTTCAAAAATTTTATAAGTGAGTCTATAATGTCTATGGTAAATTAATGTTGTAGGGTAAAAGTAAGGGAGTATGCTTCGGTTATGTAACCAATTTTCCCAAAACAGCTGGCGCTAATGTTGTCATCGGAAGGTGATACGCTGAGATAGAGTTTAATAGCACAAATTCACATGTACATGCAGTTTCAGGATTGAATCATGGTGAAGTTGTTTGTGGGTGGTTTGCCAGATGGCGTTGACTCAATGCGACTTCGGCAACTTTTTTCTCAATTCGTTGTAGTTAACGAATGTGATGTGATCAAGGATTACGCTTTTGTTGTTCGTTATTAGAAAATTCAATTACAGAAGATGGTTTAGTCAGAAAAAATTGATACAAAAAGTGGTATATCGTAAGTGGAACTGCTTGGACATTGGAGCTGAGCAGTACATTAAGAGTATAAGAGTGTGCTTTGATTTAAATGGTTTATGTAAACGTATTTTTGATTTTTATGCTTTTTTAGCATGTGCCGGAGGAATCCGATGCACGAACAGCTATTGAAAAATTGGACGGTTATATCTTGGAAGGAAAAGCGATTAATATACGAAGGTTGTTGTACAGTTTTTTCTGAAGGTCCATAGGACTATGCATTATTTATAAAGTGTTCTGTTTTGGCGATTCAATTATAAAACAGATTCAATTGTGTATAGGTTTTTGGAAGGGCGATTTATTTTCGAACTGTAAAACATTTTGAAAATTAAGTTAATTCCTATGTTTTGTTAATTTGGGTCAGCTAATCTTTGACCAACATACGCGAAATGCAAGGGGAGTGTGTAAACTGCTGAAAGTATTGGTTTGTTAAAGTGACCTCTTATGTTTCGCAGTGAAAGGGGAAATGAGTTGTTCACGGGAGTTTTTATAGATCGACGTCGAAGTTACGGAAGGAACCGGGTATGGATAAACGTTGCTATCGATGTGGAGCAGTTGATCACAAAACACCACAGTGCCCAAGTGATCCTGCAAATATTAATTTGAAACGTGTAGCTAATACAAGCATAGGTGGTCCAGAGCAGAAACGTTTTGTTGGAGATGGGGTGTATGTTTTCTTGGATATCTTTAACGTATAAAAGCTATTTCGTATTTCCAAGATATTTTATGATGATTTACTTATGGTTCTAAGTTCTTTGGTTTCTAAATTCTAAATACTTTTAGCCGAAGTTGTTGAAATTAAGAAATGTAGAAAATGAGTTAGGGAGAAACTATTTCTTGATACTGTTAACAGTTTTCGACTTTTTTGCAGCGTAGCTGGAGAATCTCCGTCTTACGCACCAGGACATGATGCTGGTGCACCTAGTGCATTTGCGTATGCTGCAGGTTCGGGTACTCCTGCAGCACGGATTGATCCAGACCCTGAATTACCGCGCCCTTTAGATAGGTAAAATTCTTTTATCTTGCTCTGGAAATATTCTTGAAGCAATGTTTTTTTCTTTGGGCTGAGTTTAAAAATATTCAAAACTAAATAAATTATTTCTCTGACTTATTTCTTAAGGATCACATTTCTTGTTTATTTTCCCGATGTGCTGGGCTGCCTGACATTAGCCTTATTCTTTAACCGAACAATTATGTCATACATTCGATGCTGCAACCTATATTTCTTGGGTTGTTGTATATCTGCATGATCTCTCGTGTGCTTTTTAATCACTATTTATTTTAAGGTTGAAGTTTTTGTCCTTTTTTTTCTTTTTTTCTTTGATTTTGTCCTTTATTCATTT